CCCCAAAACCCCAAAACCCCAAAACCCCAAAACCCCGAGATATAGATAATATATTGAGATGTTCTACTATGGACTAACCCACCTGGCGATTCTCTATCTCGCCTATTCCATCTTTGGCTGGATATGGGGCACTTGGTTCCTCGTGCTATTTGTCAAGATTGGAGATGATATACTTCTGAGTAATGGATATCTCCGTCTAAATTACGGAGATATGTGCATGAGCATCGAGAAGCCAGGCATCAACCATAATATTTCAGGATATGCGATCCTGGAGAAAGAAACCTATGAGAGCTTTCAAAATTTCATTTTTAAAAGAGGAATCAAGAAAGTCATGAAGCTGAGGTCCATCTTTGTTAAAAAGTTTGGCATTCTTCTTTGGAAAGACCAAGGCCCTCAAGCTGGAAGGGACCAAATAAAATTATGCACTGAAAAGATAAATGACGAAGATGGCCTTAGGAAGTTTGCTGAGAAAATTTGAAATGAGAGAATGGACTATTCCAAACCTCTCTGGGAGTTCCATTTTATTGAGAACTATTCGGAGACTCAGTCAGCAATGGTTTTAAGGCTACACCATGCAGTAGCAGATGGAGGAGGAATAGTTGGGCTATTTTCTGCAATGAATGATCCTGATAAAAGACTAAAAATTGGCAAACAGTTTCCAAAGATTGGTTTCTTACAAGACCTTGTGTTGACATTCGTTGGACCAATATACAGTGTGTATTTGCTGGCGAAGAAAGGACTCTTTCACTCAGACAAAGAAGCCTCCAAGATCAACGAGCTTAAGAAAGAGGATGATCACTATGTGAAATTCTACACTAGTAAGACGTCATTCGATTTCAAAGCCCTTAAGAAATGCTACAAAAGATTCCAAGGAACCCCAAAATTCAACGACTACCTCATGGGAATCCTCTCGATTAGTCTCAAGAAGTGGTACGACAAGTATGGTCACACTGATGCCCACAAGATCAAGATTGTGAACTCGATGGACATGAGAGGACTGCCTAAAGATATCAAGGATGTAAATCTTTATAATGAAAGTATTGGTATGCCAATTTTCTAACGTCATTTAGGAGTCCAATTTGAGCTTCCAATAAAGAAAGAGTTTGAACCAGCTATGAATGAAGCAAAGGATAACTTCCACAAAGATCTTGGACTCCTTGAGATAATATCTTTAAGGAAAATATCAGACACGTTTCCTTTTTTGCCTGAAGTAGTGCTAAAGTTCTTTATGAACGAGTTTTACAAAGGTGTTGACATGATGTTTACTAATCTTCCAATGTCTTCAGAGCCATGTTATATTGCTAATAGAGAAATAAAAAAAATTGGTGTGTTCCCTAAAATGCACAACGCAGTAAACTTATTCTTCGTCGCTTCCACATACAAAGATAGACTCTACTTAAATGTCTCAGCTAATGCTAACCTGAAGATGGATGCTCAGCTCCTCCTAGACAATGCATGTGAATATTTGGCTAAAGATATTCAAAATTTTGGAAGCTAACCATGGACCAATCAAAATTTTAACTTGATTAATAGTATTGCTATAAGATGTCATGATTTCAATGATAGGAATGTAGTATGGGGTTTTGGGGTTTTGGGGTTTTGGGGTTTTGGGG